AATATTCAGCTGAGTTGCATTCTTTAGTTCCACCAGTTCAGATATTTATTACTAGGCCACTCAAACTTGAGCATTAGAATACGGTTCAAGCAATGATATACAAATGATAGAAATTATTTGGAGGATTTGATAATCATAACTAAGCTTGGTGATAGTAGTCGTGGCTCCAGGGGGCACAGTCCTAGGTTTACAGAGAACTCAGTAAGAGTTCCACCACGGAATATGCGAGCGGCGCTATATTGAATCTGATGTGCAATCTCTTCGTCACCGAGGCCCGTTGGAACAGATGGCATGACGTTTGCTTGATAACCTAACTCTCCGGGTTTCAATTCTCGGTAGTGGATGCGCACTGCTGATGAGTCCCAAATATAGGACGAAACGGCCGTCGTCCAGTGCTTTCTGCATTCTGTTGAGGTTTCTTTCAGACTCGATGAATTACTTAATTATAATTATCAAATACTCCTAATAATTTATATCATTTGTATATCATTGCTTGAGCCGGCTTCTAATGCTCAAGTTTGAGCGGGTTGGTGATAGTAGTCATGGCTCCTGGGGGCACAGTCCTGTGGTTAGAGAGAATCTCAGTTGAGTTCCACCACGGAATATGTGAGCGAGCGGCGCTATATTGAGTCTGATTTGCAATCTCTTCATCACCGAGGCCCCTTGGAACAGTTGGTATGACGTTTGCCTGTCAATGTAACTGTCCGGGTTTCAATTCTCGGTAGTGGATGAGCACTGCTGATGAGTCCCTGATATAGGACGAAACGGCCGTCCAGTGCTTTCTGCATTCTGTTGAGATTTCTTTCAGACTCGATGAATTACTTAATTATATATATATATATATATGTATGTATTGAAGTCAACACTTAGAGGCGACAGGCTGCTTCATGCTAGATTCAATCGTCAGGCCACGAATGTTGCTTTTTTTTCTCGGCTATTTATATATACGGGTCAGTGGTGCATTGTGCATTTACACACGCTCTATCTCTGATATTGAGCACTATATCCCATAAATATATCACAACGTAAGAGTATATTTCTTCATATATATATATATATATATATATATATATATGGGGCTAAATAATATAATGGTGGATGGTGGAGATGGGGTGAATAATAAAATCATTTGAAGGAAAAAGCCGTAAAGAAAACAACAACAAATGACATCATGGTTTCACGATGACGACGTCTTTCTTAATCTTCTTTCTTCTTCTACAGGATCAAGCTCGATAGATTCAGTTCTTCTCATAATTAGGAAATCATTGATGAGCACAGTGGGGGCATTGCAACCATTCTCAACTTATTGGTGAACAAGTTACATCTTACATCTTGAATTCTTTATGGAATTTACACAAAGTACGGCGCCTATCTCCTCTTCTCCCTCCTCCTCCTTCCTGTTCTTGTTCTCTTCTATGCACAGTGCCACTTTAGAATGTGTGCGATCTTGGTCCTCCACAATTTCCTAACCTACATTATCTTCTCACCACCCTCTCAGTCCCTAGTCTGCCATCAATTTACACAAGCTCGCCAGGACTGTTACTCGTTGCCTTCATCTGTCCTGTCATGTGAGTGTCAATTTCTCCAAGCTCTCTTTCCTTATTTGTGTCCGAGAAATTTCAACCCTTATTCATTACTCAGTATCCGTCAGTAGAACTAGATTTCTGTTGAGCCAAGTTTCTTCTTCATATTTAAGGAGATTGTCCAGCAATCACTGCCATATAGTATGACTGATATTATATGGAAGTGTAGCAATATATTTTGGTTTCTAATGGAATTTTCTTGTTTCTTAATTTGCTCAGCTTTTGGAAGGCATCTTTCGCAATCTGTGTAATTTCCTCGCCAGATAGCTTTTGCACTCAAACATTAGTATCGACGTTTATAGGTATATAACGAATGGATTCATCATGAACACATATGTATAAATAATTTATATATATATATATATATATATATATATATATATATATATATATAAAAGAAATATGGTCTTAAGGTGTGCTATATTTATGGGAGAAAGTGCTCAATATCAGAGATAGAGCGTCTGTAAATATAAAAGTGAACATAGAAGTCAACATAGAGGCGACAGTCTGTTTCTTGCTGATGGCCTGATGATTGCGTCTAGCATGAAACAGACTGTCGCCTCTACGTTTTGACTTCTATGTTCACTTATATATATATATATATATATATATATATATATATATATATATATATATATATATATATATATCTGTACACCTGCCAGGGTAGGTAATTGCTGTTGGAGAAACCTGGGATTTATACTGCAACTAGCTTCAAGCGCACATTAATTCCGGTTTCTCAGGGATATTATCAATCTCTGAACCCTCATCAATTCTGACTTCTTGCCAGTACAAACATCGACAGTGTCCAAATAATTTGGTATACTTAATTTCCATCACAAAGCTTAGGTCAAACAATAAAATAGGAGTTTGTTCAGTCCGCTGGCATCGTCTCCATTGGCCGTTATGCATTAGTCATCTTCCGGATCAATTCAGACCCAGGTGTCACACACACACACACACACACACACACACACACACACACACACACACACACACACACACACACAAATCTCTCTCTCTCTCTCTCTCTCTATATATATATATATATATATATATATAAACAAGTTGGTTTTTGCTTGCTGAGTGATAACTGGCAAACCTCTGGGTTGCGTTAAAGTCAAAAGAAATCTCAATGATACATCGAAGTACACAAGAAGAACAAATGATTCCATCTTACCATTATGCTTCTAAGTAAATGTCAAAACATGGAAATTCACCTGAAAAGAAAAAAAAAATAAAATTATAAATGAGAAAACACAAAATCTTTAAACATTCATTTTAATTTAACTATTATCATAATGATGATGATGATGATGGTAATGTTGTTGGTGATAATGATGATAAGTAATGCTTGCTTGCTCTTTTATGAGTATACTTATCTACTAGGATGATTATGTAATGCCTGTTGCAAGTACCTGTTCAGGCATAATTGTGCTTCTTCAATATATACAGAACCCACCTTTGGTTTATACTGTATCTATGCTGACTTTAGTTACAGTTCCTAGAATAGATGACATAATCTGTCATAATCTCAAATTGAACAAAGCCAGTACATTCAAACTACTTATCTACAATGACTTGTAGCTTCATGGAAACACAACCATCAATGGCTGCTGAACAGATGCTTTTTTTTATATGACTTCACTGACAAGTCTTGAACCAAAGCCTGAGATGGTTTTCAGGCATCTCTGAATGGTGCCACACACTAGGATCATCTCCAAGTTGTTATCAAACATAGTGAAATTCAAATCTTGACTTCATTGTTAGAATGCTAACATTCTAACCATTAAGCCATGTATCGACAATATGATAAGAGATTATACAATTAGCTAGCTAAAATGAATAATTCTTGATATCACTAATCTTAGAGAAGCAAACATGAAACTCACACCTTTGATGCAAGTAACAAAATAGAAATTATATTTTTCTACATTAAATCCTTCTAGTATTGTATATTAAAAGCACTACATTTTGTTAAAATAATAAAATAGAAAAGCAAAAGTAGAATTTGCATAACAATCTCAAATTTACATGCATCAAAATATCAATTGATATAAACCAAGAGAAAATCAACAGCATTATTATACAGGGTGACCCCAAAAAACGGGAACTTTTTAACAACCCAATAAAACCAAGAGTGATGGAAGAAAAATATTTTATTCATAGTAATTGAAACCTTAAAACATACCATTTAAGAAACAATGATGTAATTTTCATTTTTTAAAAATTACGTCCTGTAGATGGCGACTTCCTGTACGAATGCATTCTTGAAATCTGCTGTTGAGATTCCTCATTGACTGCTGCAACATCTCAGCTGGGATATTGTGAATTTCATCTTGAATTCTAAATGGCGAAATGTTTTCTTGCTCAAGGTCACTGTCTCGCAGTGTTGCCACTTGCTCATGTCTGGCAATACGCACTTAAAAAATTCCTGTTTTTTTGGAGTCACCCTGTATATTAATTACTTGGGTAAGTGGAGCTAAGAATAATTTTATTATTACTTTAATTAATTATTATTCAAACTACATACCTACAATGACATGTAGCTTCATGGAAACACAGCCATCAATGGCTGCTGAATAGATGTCTTATATATATATATATATATATATATATATATATATATATATATATATATATATATATTTCACTGACAAGGCTTGAACCAAAACCTGAGATGGTTTTCAGACACCATAAATTGTGCTGCGTACTTGGATCGTCTACGCAGAACGATAAGTCACCGCAATAAAAAAAAACCCTCCATAGTGAGATTCGCACTTGAGACCGCATGGTCGGATTGCTAACACTCTAATCTCCGTCTCTGTGTGTTTTCTTGTGGGTAGCAGTTTATATATAAATTTGCAACACGTGTTATCACAGTATATGACCGTGTGCTAGGCTGAGATAAATTTATCAAATATGAAATAAAGGTGTGTAGAGTGTGGAAAAGTGAGTTGTGTTTAATCTTTGTAGTGATAGAGTTCAATTGAGAATTTCTAATGCTGATTTTTAAGGCAAGCACAAAGGAAGGCAAGAAAACCATTCCTCAGTAGAAAATATTGAAGTAACGTAATTTCACTCTAAAATACAATTTATTCAAATCAAGATTGTAGCGGATATCAAACTGATTAAATATCAGAGGTTGAATTAAAATTAGAAACGTGGAAAGAAGAAAATATACCGAAAAGAAAGAAAAATGAGAGAAAGAAAAGTTGCGCCAGAGATATATATATATATATATATATATATATATATATATATATATATATATATATATATATATATATATATATATATATATATATATATATATATATATATATATATATATATATATATATATATATATATATATATATATATATATATATAGATAGATAGATAGATAGATAGATAGAGAGATAATAAATCGCGCTATATATATATATATATATATAGAGAGAGAGAGAGAGAGACAGAGAGAGAGAGACAGAGGGAGAGAGAGTGAAAGAAAGAAAATAAACATGAAAATAAATTGTAACGAGATAAATACGTTGAGAAAATAAAAGAAGGATAGAATACACGGGAAAGAAAGAAATCACACATGGGAGAGAGAAAGAGAGAAAGAGAGAAAGAGACAGAGACTGACAGAGAGAGAGAGAGAGAGAGAGGCAGAGGCAGAGAGAGGCACGAAAATACTGTGTAACGAGATAAATATTTAAAAAAATAAGGAGAGAACGAAAGAAACATTATTTCGGCAAAAGAAAGAAAGAATACTTCACAGAAATAAAGAAAGAATAATTCGGAAAAAGAAAGAAAGAAAGAAAGAAAAGAAAAGAAAAGAAGAAAGAAAGAAAGAAAGAAAAAAGAATACTTTGGAGAAAGAAAGAAAGAAAGAAAGAAAGAAAGAAAGAAAGAAAGAAAAGAAAAGAAGAAAAAAAGGAAGAAAGAAAGAATACTTTGGAGAAAGAAAGAAAGAAAGAAAGAAAGAAAGAAAAGAAAGAAAAAGAAAAAAAGAAGAAAGAAAGAAAGAAAGAAAGAATACTTTGGAGAAAGAAAGAAAGAAAGAAAGAAAGAAAAGAAAAGAAGAAAGAAAGGAAGAAAGAAAGAATACTTTGGAGAAAGAAAGAAAGAAAGAAAGAAAGAAAGAAAGAAAGAAAGAAAGAAAGAAAAGAAAAGAAGAAAGAAAGGAAGAAAGAAAGAATACTTTGGAGAAAGAAAGAAAGAAAGAAAGAAAAGAAAAGAAGAAAGAAAGAAAGAAAGAAAGAAAGAAAAGAAAAGAAGAAAGAAAGAAAGAAAGAAAGAAAGAAAGAATACTTTCAAGAAAGAAAGAAAGAAAGAAAGAAAGAAAGAAAGAAAAGAAAAGAAGAAAGAAAGGAAGAAAGAAAGAATACTTTGGAGAAAGAAAGAAAGAAAGAAAGAAAGAAAGAAAGAAATAAAGAAAAGAAGAAAGAAAGAAAGAAAGAAAGAATACTTTGGAGAAAGAAAGAAAGAAAGAAAGAAAGAAAGAAAGAAAGAAAGAAAGAAAAGAAAAGAAGAAAGAAAGGAAGAAAGAAAGAATACTTTGGAGAATGAAAGAAAGAAAGAAAGAAAGAAAGAAAAAAGAAAGAAAGAAAAGAAAAGAAGAAAGAAAGGAAGAAAGAAAGAATACTTTGAGAAAGAAAGAAAGAAAGAAAGAAAGAAAGAAAGAAAGAAAGAAAGAAAGAAAAGAAAAGAAGAAAGAAAGGAAGAAAGAAAGAATACTTTGGAGAAAGAAAGAAAGAAAGAAAGAAAGAAAGAAAGAAAGAAAGAAAGAAAGAAAAGAATAGAAGAAAGAAAGGAAGAAAGAAAGAAAGAAAGAAAGAAAGAAAGAATACTTTGGAGAAAGAAAGAAAGAAAGAAAGAAAGAAAGAAAGAAAGAAAGAAAGAAAGAAAGAAAAGAAAAAAAGAACGAAAGGAAGAAAGAAAGAATACCTTGGAGAAAGAAAGAAAGAAAGAAAGAAAGAAAGAAAGAAAGAAAGAAAGAAAGAAAGAAAGAAAGAATAATTCGGAAAAAGAAAAAAGAAAGAAAGTAAGAAAAGAAAAGAAAAGAAGAAATAAAGGAAGAAAGAAATAATACTTTGGAGAAAGAAAGAAAGAAAGAAAGAAAGAAAGAAAGAAAGAAAGAAAGAAAGAAAGAAAGAATAATTCGGAAAAAGAAAGAAAGAAAAGAAAAGAAGAAATAAAGGAAGAAAGAAAGAATACTTTGTAGAAAGAAAGAAAGAAAGAAAGAAAGAAAGAAAGAAAGAAAGAATACGTTGGAGAAAAATATATCGGAAAAAAAAGAAAAGAAAAAAACAAATAGGCATATTCCAGCGTTATCGATGGTCACTTGTTGAAATACTTGATTTTAATTTCTTGTTTCAAGGCAGTTACGCAAATGTTCTCGACATTGAAGATTGACGCAACATAATCGAATTATTTGTTTTTTTTTATTTTACTATCCTGAACTTGATAACTATTTAAATGAAAAGTAAATAATTGGATAGCAGTTAAAATATTAGAAGCAGAAGCAAGGAAAACAGAAAAAAAAATGATTTATGTTAATATTGAATCGTTTTATTTAAAATAGGAAACAGACATGAAAGAAGGAAACGAATAAAAAGAACGGAAGACATTATTAGAAAAAATGGAAAAAAATCAAGTGGTAAGTAAAAAAAGAGTTGGAAAAAGAAAAGCGAAAGAAATCGACGAATTCATAGAAGAAAGATTATCTGACAGGAGAGAAGAGAGTAAGAAAAAGAGACTAATAAATGAGAGAGAGAAAGAAAGTATCAAATAATTCAATAAAAAGAAATGAAATATAAAACAAAGAAAGAATGAAAAAAGGAAACGAAAGAATTAATAAAGAAAAAAGTCAGAATGAGAAAGAAACTAGAAATGAATGAAAAAGAAAGAAAAGAAGAATAAAGTAATGAAGAAAACAAAAGAAGAATCAAAAGAATGAAAGAAAAACGAAAGAAAGAAAAAATGAGAAAGAAAAAAGGAAGTAAAACAAGTAAAGGCAGGAAAAAGAAGGAATGAAAAACATAAAATGAAAGAGAGAACTTATGAAGGAAAACTGACAGATGAGAAAAGAACAAAGGAATGAAAAGAGAGAGAGAGAGAGAGAGAAAGAAAGAAGAATGACGAAAGGAAAAAGAAGGAAGTATGAAAAAGAAAGAAAAAATATGAATAAGGAAAGAAAAAGAAAAAAGAAAAAAGGGAAAGACAAAATGATTGAAGAGAGAAAAACGAAAGAAAAACTATAAAAACAAAGAAACGGTGAATGCACGAAAAAGAAAGAAAGAAAGAAAGAAAACATAGATGAGGAAAGAAAAAGAAAAAGCCAAGGTGGGACTTAAAAAAGAGAATGAAAGAAAAAAACGAAAGAAAGAAAATATAAAAGAAAGAAGCAGTGAATGAATGAAAAAGAAAAAAAGACAAAAATAAGGAAAAAGAAAAGACAACAGAATGACTGAAAAAAGAGAAGAGAAGAAAAAAGAAAGAAAAGCTATAAAAAAAGAATGTAGAGCAAAAAAAAAAAGAAAAAAAGAAGAAAAACGAATCGATAGAAACTAAAGATCGAATGAAAGAAATGAATGAGTAAATAGTAAAAAGGTATTAAGGATAAAAAGGTTTGCATTGAACGAATGAGTGATTATTCATCTATCGGCAATCGATGAGCATGTCGATAAAAAGACATTTCTGGCAGGAAGAGAAATCTAAGCGTACAACTCTATAAAAAGATGAACGAGATGACACACCGTTGGCCAAATGATCTTTACGCAGGTACCATTTAGACGAAATCGAACAAGGCTTTACTCACCCCACACATTGTGGTTAAATACTGATATTTGGGCAGAGAGGTACAGAAGCAGTAAATAAAAAAGTGAAATATATACACAGCCAGCATTATTTTTCTAAGGGTCACCTGGCGTAGACACAATCAAGTTAAACCGACGCTTCTATGAAGATGGGTTAAATTTGTCTTGTCTTGTGAACTTGGCTAGAAAATATATTAAGAAACATTGAATTCTGGTGCCACTCTTAAAAGCCATAGAGCGTAGGTTTGAACACTTGAGTTTCACCTATTTTCCTCATACTGCAGGTTTACGGGCTACAACACGTTGAAAACACCTATTTCCGATGTTAAGCAGCGTCGAGTCTGGTCACTACCTAGATAGCTGACCGTTTGAAAATACCAAGGATGGATGTGCAGATGGTGTAGTGGATAATGGCTCGGAATTGTTAATCGAAGACTCGTGTTCCAATTTTCGCTGGGTTCTTCATATTCACTTACGCTCAAATAACCTTTGGAAAGGTATGACTTCATCACTTCACCCCCTAACTATGACTTAAAGATATCCACATAATTATTTGCGAATTTGGATTGTATTCCTGCTCAATAGAAATTCGTAAATAATTATACTGGATACGCTACAACATGTTTAACAAGAAGACTCACGTCACACCTCTCTTACAATTAGGTCTCATTTAAATAGACAAACTCTATCCGTAACATATTCATTGATAATACAAATATAATAGCCTTATCCACATGTAAAAAAGGCTACAAATTATGGAAGCATTATTAATAAAAAAAAGAAAAAGCCAACACTCAGTAATATCAAATATGAGCACGGCCACAATGTGCTGACCGTAGTTAGAAAATAAAATTTTCTCATAACTCTAGATACATATTTAGAACAATATATATTCAGTTAAAAGTAAAATAAAATTAATTCTTGATAATGGTTTAATGTATAGTCGAAAGCGCTTAGGTATATAAATCTTTCGGACTAACTTTACATCATTTAAGTATTGAAAAGATAAAAATTATAAAAACAATGAAAAATTATACAAAAATCTTAACTACAGCAAATTGCTTTTAACGAAGTTTGCATAAAAGAGAGATTGCTGCCCAAATACAGAAATATATATATATATATATATATATATAAAGAAATATAGTCTTAAGGTGTGCTATATTTATAGGATAAAGTGCTCAATATCAGAGATAGAGTGTGTAAATATAAAGTGAACATATAGAAGTCAACACTTAGAGGCGACAGTCATATGTGGCCTGACGATTGCATATAGCATGAAACAGACTGTCGCCTCTAAGTGTTGACTTTATTTTATATATATATATATATATATATATATATATATATATATATATATATATATATATATATATTATTTTTTTTAAATGTGATTACATCGCAACACAAAAATTACTGCTTCGAAATTTGACTCAAGTCCTAATGTTTAATTTCAATATTAAATCTAATGAGAAAAACAATGGATTCTTTTTCTCATAACTTTTCACGAATATTCAGCTCAGTAGATGGAAACAAATAAATATCGTGTTTAATAAATAAATAAAAACAGGGCATCTATCGAAACATGTGTATGTTTTAAAAATAACGTTTAAGAAATAAATTATATATATATATATATATATATATATATAGAGAGAGAGAGAGTTAAAAGCGAAGAAAGAAATCTTCAAATACAACTCTACAAATTTAAATAAATTCTATTATTGTGTACTGATTTTCTTCCCAAGTTGAAATGTGTGTGTATAATATATATATATATATATATATATATATATATATATATATATATATATATATATATATATGAACACATAAAGACCCCTTGTCTGGATGAATGGATTTCTCTGTATCCTTGAAACGTGAATTATGAATTTTTGCAGTGTCTTTAAAACCCAGTAATTTTAAAAATAAGTTACTCCAAAATTCGCTTGAAGATGAAATGGAACTAATGTCTTTAATTTAATTACAAAATTAAATTCAAAGATTTTAGCTTCCATTTTTGAAACATGGTTAGAACTGTGTAACTAAAAACATATTTTAAATAAGTTAATTTATAATATATATATATATATATATATATATATATATAGAGAGAGAGAGAGAGAGAGAAAGAGACAGAGACAGAGACAGACAGACAGACAGAGGGGTACATTGTTTCTTATATCCTTAGTGTTTAGATATTTTAAAGTTCTATCTCCATTAATATAAAAAAAATTAGGTGACCTCTCCCTCCTCCCTCTGTCTGTCTGTCTGTCTGTCTGTCTGTCTCTCTCTCTCCATATATATATATATATATTTGTGTGTGTTTATGTGTGAAAAGAGGTTCCATTTTTAATTATTAATCTGAGGAAATATCTCATCCGGCATAGGATCCTTTGTATGGAGAAACGACCGTTTCATCTGGTATGCTTTACCGTTTGGCCACGAGGGATTTCACAGTAAGTAAGGCACTTCTTTCTCTATTTCAGGAAAGCATATCCCATTCACTCAGATTGTTATTTTAGAGAGCTCATATCGCCTCAGCTTAGCATCCGAAACGTAAACAAAGCAATTTCTAAAGTTTGAATGGATTTTTTTTATTTTTAATCCGACACACACACACATATATATATATATATTAAAGAAAGACAGACCACTTTAAGGTACCATTATAATAATTTATTTCACCAGAGCCCTTTAGAAGGACGACGGATCATCAGATAGCACTTCCAAAAATGAAACGAAAAATGATATTAAAATTGATGGGTAGTGTAAGTTTTTGTAATTTAACAGCGAATGTAAAATGAGTGGTTAAAGAGACATGGTAGAGCTTAGGGAGGGTTTAATTTCATATCTCTCTCAATCATACTTAGTATTGGGGGAGGAGGAGTGACCAGACCTTGACCTATTTAGAAGGTTAACTTAACGGAAGTGATATATTGAAATGGGAGGGAAGAAGAGAGAAAAGAAAAAGGAAAAAGGAAAAAGAAAGAAATAGGAAGAGGGAAGTAAAAAGAAAGAGGCTGTAATTGGGTTTTAGCAATTTATGTAAAAAAATAGATTTTAATGCTTGATAGTAATTTAGATGTCTAAAAAACCCCGAAGAAATTAATATGATGCTTGCTAGCAATTTAAATATTTAATTTTTTTACAAATAGTTTATATAAGTTAAATACTATATTTATTAACACATTTATAGAAATCATATTAAAAAAAATTTAAATTATAACAGTTTGTTTACCCGACCAATAGTACTTTTTTAATATTGTAAAAAACAGTTACGGTAACAACTTTATCAGTTTGAATCTAATTTATGAATGTAATTTGTAATTATTTTTATATGGGTAATCTTTTTTTACTTATTGTTATGGGGTCCTCCCTCTTTTCATATAAGTGGACTCTACCCGTCTTACTTGGGGTGCTGCCGTTAAATACACAGAGTTAGACAGTCAGTGAGAGAGGATATACGGCGAGAGAGAGAGAGAGAGAGAGAGAGAGAGAGAGAGAGAGAGAATATACGAAGGCATCCCAATGTAGAAATAGAAAAGATACTAATAGAATAAGAGCTACAAGGATGAATAACGATGACAACACCAATGTAAGGAAATATGTGGAACTGGAAATTTTAAATAAAAAGATTAAATTACAACTGGATTCGGGTTCCGACCTCACGATAATCAACTTACAGACATGGAAAAAAACTCAACAGACCTACCATGTTACACACACAAAAAATTGCCAAGTCGGTTACAGGCAAACGAATAAAATTTGAGGGAGAAATAATCGTGAATGTTAAATTTCACGGCAAAACAAAAAAAAACTTAAGATATACGTCATGAAAGATACTGAAAATTTAGTAGGTATCGACTGGATACAGAAGTTCAACGTTTGGGACCTACCTATCAACTCTTTTTGCAAAAAGTTAGAGGTTGAACCATCAGATACTATAAAATTGAATGAAGAATTATATAACCAATTTCCTGAGGTATTTTCAAGCGGGTTGGGACGATGCAACAAATTTAAGGCCAAAATAGAATTAAAAGAAAACGTCCAACCAATTTTTAAAAAGAAGCGAAATGTACCGTTGGCTACTATAGAAAAAGTAGACAAAGAATTGGAGAGACTTGAACAAACTGGGATTCTATCAAAAACAGAGTTTAGCGAGTGGGCAGCGCCAGTGGTTTATGTAAAAAAGAAGTTAGGAGAAATTCACGTATGCGCAGATTTTTCGACGGGACACAACAAGGCAATAAAAGATCACCATTAACCACTACCGAGCACAGAGGAGATATTTACAAAGCTCAACGGCGGTAAGATATTTTCAAAAACAGATCTTAGTGAGGCTTATCTACAAATTCCAGTACTAGAAGAGAGTACGAAAATCATTTGCATTAATACGAACAAAGGGTTGTACAAATTCAACAGACTACCATTCAGAGTAAAAGTTGCACCTGCAATTTTTCAGCAAACGATGGACACAAAGCTCACGGGCCAGAATTTCGCGACCGCTTATCTGGATGATATTCTAATTAAGAGCGACAATGTTGAAGAGCACACATCACACATAAAAGAAGTTTTTAGAAAACTTCAGGACTTTGGCTTCAAAGTAAAAGGAGAAAAGTGTGATTTTTTCCTAAATGAAATTAAATATTTAGGACAGATAATAAATGAAAATGGCAGGAAACTGGACCCAGAGAGGTTAAAAATATGCCGGAATCAAAAAATATTGCAGAACTGCAAAGTTTCCTGGGCCTAGCTAACTGCTATGGCGAATTTATTGATAATATGCATAAACTGAGGGCTCCACTAAATGAGTTACTAAAAAAGGAGCATAATTGGAATTGGACAGAGGACTGTAAAAAAGCATTCAAGGAAATAATACAAAAATTAACTTCAGAGTTAACATTGACACATTTCGATCCCGAACTCGAAAACATTATTGCAAGTGACGCGAGCTCACATGGGGTAGGTGCGTTTATTTTACACAAGATGCGGAACGGTACAAACAAACCCGTTGCACACGCATCTAGATCATTATTACCGGCGGAGAGAAACTATTCGCAGATCGAAAAGGAGGCATTGGGCATAATTTTTGCAGTAACTCATTTTCACAGATATATTTATGGGAGAGAGTTCACACACCAAATGGACCACAAACCACTTCTTACGATTTTTGGTTCAAAAAAAGGTCTACCAGTCTATACAGCGAACAGACTTTTAAGATGGGGAACTGTGTTACTAAACTATAATTTTAAACAGGAATTCTGACCATCAAAGAAAATCGGACACGCTGACGGACTATCACGATTAATACCTGCGAAAAGCGAACCGCTAGAAGATTCGGTAATTGCAGCATTACAAGCTGAAGATGAAATCAGTAAGGTACTATGCCATACAATAAAGGAACTACCTGTAACGCTGCTAGAGATAAGACGAGAAGCAGAAAGAGACGAGTTTATTCAGGATACCAAGAAAAAAGTAGAAGAGAAAGTGAAGAATTTAGCAGACAGTTTCTCAATCTGTGACAACATATTATTGTATAACGAGAGAGTAGTAATACCGAAGTCACTACGAATAAGTATCTTAAAAGATTTTCACTTAGGAAATCCCGTAAAAAACCGCATGAAATCCCTTATGAGAAGTTTTGTCTACTGGCCGAATATGGACGATGATATCACGCAAATGGTGGAAAGTTGCAAAAGTTGTGCTGCTGCAGCGAAGGCACCACCCTCTATACAAAGGCCATGGCCTAAAGTCGACAGACCGTGGTCCAGAATACACGTGGATTACGCAGGACCCACTGAAGGTTACTCTTATCTAATAACAGTAGATAGTTTCAGTAAATGGCCAGAGGTTGCCCGATGACAGAAAACACCATAAACTGTTTACACGAACTATTCGTGAGATTTGGCGTCATGGTTTGTTTAGTAAGCGATAACGGCACACAGTTTACCTCCAGTGACTTTAAAGAATTTTGTGAGACATACCAAGTAAAACATATTAAGATAGCTCCGTACCACCCGAGGTCGAACGGACAAGCTGAAAGATTCGTCGACACACTAAAAAGAGCATTAAAAAAGCTGAGGATGTACCGACGATAAAGGCGATGCAACAATTCCTCCAAGCATACAGAATAACACCTAACGTGAACACGCCATCGGGTCTTTCACCAGCAGAACTGTTGTTTGCCCGGAGAATAAGGTCTGTGTTTGACAAATTATTGCCAACAATATTAAGAACAAAAATCAGTATACACCGATTGTACCAAAGAGATCATTCAAACCTGGAGACCGGGTTTATTTTAAAATGTTTAGAAACAATATGGCTTACTGGGAGCCTGGCACAATAGATTAGGAAACCTAATGTACACAATAAAAGGAGAGAAGTTTTCACATAGAAGACA